TGGGGGGCTTGGGGGGTTTTGGGGGGTTTTAGGGGGTTTTGGGGGGTTTTGGGGAGGTTTTGGGGGGGTTTTGGGGGGGTTTTGGGAGTTCTTGGGGGATTTTGGGGGGTCCTGGGGGGGTTTTGGGGGGTCCTGAGGAGGATTTGGGGGTCTTGGGGAAGGATTTGGTGGGACTTAGAGGGGTTTAGGAGGGTCTTGGGTGGGATTGGGGTGGATTTTGGGTGAATTTTGGGTGGATTGTGGGTGGATTTTGGGAGGATTTCGATGGATTTTGGGTGGATTTCTGAGGATTTTGGGGTGGATTTCGATGAATTTGGGGTGGATTCCAGGTGGATGGGTTTGGGTTGATTTCGGGTGTGTTTTGATGGATTTGGGGTGGATTTTGATGGATTTTGGGTGGATTTCTGCAGATTCGGGGTGGATTTCAATGAATTTGGGGTGGATTCCAGGTGGATGGGTTTGGGTTGATTTCGGGTGGGTTTTGATGGATTTGGGGTGGATTTCGATGAATTTGGGGTGGATTTTGATGGATTTGGGGTGGATTTCTGTGGATTTTGGGTGGATTTCTGAGGATTTGAGTGGATTCCAGGTGGATTTTGGGTGGGTTTGGGTTGATTTCGGGTGTCCACCCCAGGTTCCTGCTCTACGGCCGCTACTGCAGCCAGGTGGAAGCGGCCGCGCGGCGCCTGGACCAACTGTCCACCTGCACTGACCTGCGCATGAAGCTGCAGGTGAGCCCCAGAACACCCCAAAAACACCCCAAAATCCCTCCCCAAATCCCAACCCCCCACCAGAACCTCCAAAAATCACCCAAAGCCACCCAAAATGGCTCAAAATCCCCCCCAGACCTCCCCAGGAAGCTCCGGGTGGGCCCCAAAAAATCCCAAATCCCCACTCCCGATCCTGATGACCCCAATGACCCCCGCAATGTCCTCCCATGGCCCAAAGTGACCCCAAAGTGACCCAAATTACCCCAAACTGACCCCAAAGTGACCAAACCTGACCCCAATGACCCCTGCAATATCCCCCCATGACCCAAAGTGACCCCAATGACCCCAAAGTGACTCCAAAGTGACCCCAAAGTGACCCAAATGACCCCAAACTGACCCCAAAGTGACCAAACCTGACCCCCAATGACCCCCCCAGGAGTGCTCCCAGCGCGCCAACAACGGGCGCTTCTCGCTGCGGGACCTGCTGATGGTGCCCATGCAGAGGGTGCTGAAATATCACCTGCTGCTCCAGGTGACACCTGGGGACACCTGGGGACGTGTGGGGACACCTGGGGACACCTGGACACACCTGGGGACAGCTGGGGACACACCTGGGGACGTGTGGGGGCATCTAGAGACACACTTGGGGGGCACATGAGGACACCTGGGACAGCTGGGGACAGATCTGGGATACCTGGACACACCTGGACACACCTGGACACACCTTGACCTTTGTCCCCAGGAGCTGGTGAAGCTGACCCCGGATGTGGCCGAGCGGGAGCGGCTGCGGGGGGCGCTGGACGCCATGAGGGTGGGGATTTGAGGGGGCTTTGGGGGGGCTTTGGGGGTCCCGGGGTGGTCCTGAGGTGTCCTGAGGGGATTTGGGTGATTTGGGGGGGCCTTTAGAGGGTCTGGGGGGTGTTTGGGGGGAGTTTTTGGGTTCCTGGGGGGTTTTGGGGGTTCCTGGGGGGGATTTGGGGGTTCCGGGGGGGTTCCAGGGAGGATTTAGGGGTTCTGGGGGTGGTTTGGGGATTCCAGGGGGGTTTGGGGGTTTGGGGGTCTCTGACTGGAGCCCCCCAGGACCTGGCCCAGTGCGTGAACGAGGTCAAACGGGACAACGAGACCCTAAAGCAGCTCACGAGCATCCAGCTGTGCCTGCACAACATGGTGGGGACCCCCGGGACCCCCGATCCCCCCGGGACCCCCTGATCCCCCCGGGACCCTCGATCCCCCCGGGACCCCCCGATC